AGTCATCTTGCCCAGAAAGTCAGCAAAGGAGATGTAGGAGATAAGTCTCTGCTTTGGTGGGTCAGGGTCCATTAGCATGTCAAATACCTTGAAATTTGCCAGACACCAACCCTGGGGCTTTTCTTGATTTATCTCATTTAATCTTTACATTAAACATACATGAGAGGAAGTAAAAGCAAAGAGAGGTTAAGTGACTTCCTTGAGGCCACACAACTATTTTACTTCAAGACCTGAGAATTAATATTGTATTAGTTTGGAATATTAGCTAGAAATATAAAATTACAAAGACAGGCTCCACATAGTTCTTTATGTTTGGGAAAAACAAGAAATCTCATAAAATACAAGTGAATCATGAAAAATCTAAAGGCTTCAGCTTGGGTTAAAAAAGCATTAATAGAAATTCATGAAATATGTAATACTTATATATCTATACACACATATATATTTTATATGTAACATAGAATATTATGGAATATATAATAGAATATATTACCTTTAAACATCCATTATATATAGATAATATGCAATTATGTAAATGTTAAATATATTACAAAATATATAATATGAAATAACACTACTCTTACATATTATATATAGAATTAAAAGAATGTATAAATGTATCTACATAAATACATATGTAATAAATAAGCTATAAAGAGAACATGCTGGCTTCTTTCATATATGTAATGAAAGCACACAGAATTATAGAAATTTTTGTCCATGATTAATTATAGCTTTATGGCAGCAAATGTTGAAAAAATGGCTTGTGTGAAAGACCAGTTGGTATCAAGGAAATGATCTTCCCCCAGAAAAATCACTGCCTTTTTTTTCTTTTTTTTTTTTGCAGTTTTTGGCTGGGGCTGGGTTAGAACCCACCACCTCTGGCATATGGGGCTAGTGCCCTACTCCTTTGAGCCATAGATGCTGCCCATTGCTGCCTTTTGGGGTTACATTTATAGCAGTAGAATAGCCAAAAAAACTAAAATTAAAATTAAAATGGAGATGAGAAGTGTTCTAACCCATATTGATTAGGAGTTTCTCTTGTATGACATGTCCCTTTGAGGATCCAGAACTTGAAGAATGATCTGAGACCTGGTTCTTCCACCAGTCTTCCTGCCTTTTCTACCATACATCCTCCTCTTCCCTTCCTCTTAGCTTATTGAGAGTTTAATTTCTAAATAGTTTAGTAAAACAGGACTATTCTGTAGAATTAGAGGGATAATGAATTAGCAGATGGATGAGGAGTGTAAGGGAAGCCCTGAAAAGCCTTTTGGTTGGGAGTTTTGGAGAAGCATCCAGTAGCTTTCTACTGAGCAGTAGATGGCCCAGAACAGGATGAGATGGGAGAGCTAACGGATTCCATTTGCGGAAGGATTCCAGATTTTCAAATGCACTGGGAGGAGCCAAAGTGCTATCATGACCTCAGTTGGAGACCAGGGCTTCTAGCCAGGCCACAAGGGATAAAAGGGAACAATGGATGGAGAATCCATCAGGGAGAATGTACTAAGGAAACACAGCTATGCAACCCAAAAGTGGCCCTCCCATGTTCCCAGAGAGGTAACAGAACTGACGATGGAAGAGGGGATTTCTAGCCTAAATTTGGGTTGTAAGCACTGTACTTGGATAAGGAAGCGGGACATGGTGGCCTATGAGTAAGTTGAAGAACAACTCAGCACTGTACTTTGGACAATACATGGAGCCAGGATTAAGACGTCATGTGAGGCTTTAGCCAAGAATTGATACAAGAATTCTAACTTTTGGAATGCTTCCTACAGAAAACCCACACAACTGTACAAAGATACTCATTTCAGCACTGTTTGTAATGTTGATAATCTGAAAATAACTTAAATGTCCAATAAAAGATTAATTACATATTAAAATGTCTACTAAATGTTAGCCTTGAAAAAAATAGCAAGATTATCTACATGTGCTGGCATGGAGAGATATGCAAGATTTATGATTGAATTGAAAGCCATGGCTACAAAATAGCATGAGTGGGTAAAGATGAAAGGATATGATTCAAGTTCAAGTTTGGACCTCTATTTTGTCCATATTGAGGAATTATATGTATTTATTTTAATACGTGAAGATAGGCAAAAAAAAAAAAAAATTAAGGGCATGAGTGTGTAGCAAACAAACAAAAAAAAATCAAACTGAAAAATTTCCCAGCATAGTTAGGAAAAAAATGTAAGTGTTCTCAGGCACACAGGAAATGAAGCAGGAAGAGATTCCTTGAGCTGCTAGAACCCAGAGGAGGGGTTTCCTGTGTACTTTCTCCTTCTGCCTCTTTTCCCCTCTCCTGGTGTTAACTTGGTTGGATTTCATTTCTGCTTTTAGAAGTTTCCACTCAGGGAGGCTTTCTTTCCTTCTGGAAGTAGGACCCTGTTTCCAATTTGACATCTGCCATCTCTACCCACCCTCCCCATTCTGAGTCAGTCGCAGCTTCTCTGAGGCAACAGATTTTATAGGTGAAAATCTGAAGGAAGTATAAAAAAGAAAAGCACAAAAAATGTGTTGCAAACTTGCTACAGAGGAAATCATAAATAACCTTGATTTTAAAAAGTGGCTACACAATGATTTTAAAAAGAGGTCAGTATTTGTCTGTTAAATACTGATTATAACTCTTGACAAGGAGTCCCACCTTGACTAAACTTTAGGCAGGTTCATTTTTAGTTAGAACCTTCCTGTTCGCTAAGCCTCAACTTTGGGTTAGAAGACTGCTAAACTAGTTTCTATAGAATCCCTTGACCCTTGACAAATTCCTCTTCCTCAACCCTTGATATCTAAGTTCCTCTTAAATGTTTTTTATCCATGCCCTCACCTTACTTGCTGGCTAGGAATCCACCCTTGTATTTGAAGTTGAGTTTAATCTTTCTGCCCTACTGCAATAGTCCCTCTCTCTCTCTTATCACATAGACTTGAATGAAGTCTTCCTTGCCATGTTTAACAGACACTCACTGTAAAATTTCTCTCTAACTCTGAAAGGTTGGTATCAATACTTATACTTTACAAGTATGTCAACTAAGGCTCAGATAGATCAAGTAATTATCCAAGGTCAAATAATTAGTAAGTGGTAGGGACAGACTGAAACTCAAGTAGTTTACTTGCCTTTTTCAACTTAAGAATTTGGGAAAACATCTCAGTCTGGAACCAGTTTAGAGTATAAATGTCAGTTTTAGAGAAGGCATTAGATTGAGGCAGGATGGATGATGATATCTGGCAATAAGTGCATCATTGAAATATGAAATCCAGTCCTCTGGCATGAACATCATAGGGCTAGCTACTCAGGATTGAACATACGTTCCCCACTTAGTGGTCCTGACTGAAAGGTATTTGACTTTGGCTCCTGGTCTCTATTAGAATCAACTGTTATGGTACTATTAGAGTTTTCTCTTTGGAGCTCCATGTGCTTTCACATACAGTCTCCATTGTCGCTATTGATAAAACAAGAGCTAAGCTTTGCTGCCCATTCCATAGAGATGGAAACAAAATAACAGAAATACTAGGTAACTTTCCCAGAACCTCTGACCCAAGCTGGTCTGAACCTGGAACTTGGTTCCAGGACATGGATTCATCAGATTTTAGAGTCATTGACAGTTATGCTGAGAAAGGTCTTTAAAGGCCTGAATGGGTTTGCAATCACCAGATGAGGGGGTTTTGATGCAGGAATGAAGAGGCTTGACACAAGTCTGTGTTGGTGTACTGAGAAACTTGGAGGATCCCTCCTGAGCTAAACTTGACTCCATTATTTATTACCATAAAGCAGGTAAAAGTAGTTAAAAGTGACTTATGAGACATCAGCACTAAAAAGGAGGAATATGGAAAGTATCAGACAGAATGTCCCCAAATTGTTTTTGCAAAACCTCAGACCTTAAGCAAGACCTCTTCCTCCAGCATCAAGAGACTTCTAGAATGTAGAGAATCTTCACCATAACCATTAGGGCTGGTATTCCCGCACCTCACAGAGACATTCTGTCTTGGAGACCAGTTTTCTGACCTCCTGCACGTACACAACTCACATGCCCGATTCACATGCCATTCTTGTAATTCTCTATATCTCTCAAGCAGGAAGCAAGTCTCATGCTTATAGATCAGGGCACAATTTCCCCTACAAAGGTTCATCCAGGCCAATGACTTTGTATCTCTGAGAATAAAACAGATTTGTTTTGCAATTTGTCTACTATCATAGACAGTTGGTGACAGAGCTAGGAACTAGAAGTGATACCCAAACCCATTCTGAACATAAATTAAAAACAGATACTCTTGCCACATCTATGATGTGCCAGGCAGTATTCTAAGAGCTTCATAGCCACTTAATGAATATGTGATACTATTCTCTTTACAGATAACGAATGGATGCAAGTCCACACAAATAGCAAATTAATTTTGGAGCTGAAACTGGAGCCCACATAGTGTAGATTCAGAGAGTTCTTGCACTTAAGTATCTCCGTGAAAAAGTGAGCTTCTAGAATCTGACAGACCTGGACTTCCCTCCTTAGGCATGCTGTTTAAGCTCTTTGAGTCTTCTCTTTCTCATCTGGTAAATGGCCATATCTCACATGGGTGTCAGATGGAGTAATTTAGATGAGTTCTATAAAACCCCAAGCAAAGATTCCCCATCAGTATTAGCCAGTAATATTACTATTAATTTGTCTAGTGATGACAACAGTTCTCCTGAAGCTACCCTAGCCTGGTGGTCTTTTTATATTTATACTTCTCTGATTGCTACCTTTCTGATCCTTCTAGTAAATTTTCCTCTACCTTGAACTTCTTTACAAATTTTTCCTCCAAAACATTCTGTCCCTGTTGAGTTCTCCCTCTCAAAATCTCTTTTTCCTCCAGCAGGAAACCAGTGTAGTTGAAAGTTAGTTGCACTTGCCAGGATACATTCATTTCGTATTTGCAAGTACACAGGAAGGTGCCCTTCAATGCCATTGTGGTCCGCTCCCTGAGGACTCTGCAGTCAGCTCAGGCTTTACCAGGACATTGCAGGACAGCAGTGCAGCCCTGCGGCCTGTCACCAGAAGGTAAAGAATTGTTTCTTGCATTGATGCTTTGCAATTGTGTTTAGTGCCTTTGAGAATCTCCAGGTAGATTTTTTTAAGTGCTGGACTTTGGCATCTGCTTCACTATTAATATATCTTAATCTAGAGAATAACTGTTTTGTTGTTAAGACAAGTATTTTAAACTTTGAGGCCCTTCCAGACTCACATGGGCTCTTCCTGACAGAAGCTCGTAGAAATCTTAACCAAGAGCTTAGCGAAGGGGGCTGGTGAATTGCTTATTTTCAGCAGTGAAAGATGCAAGTCTGGCAGAAATATTTTTACAAGCATTTGTTTTTCTGTTTCTTTATTGGAAAGGAAGTCAGAAGGGTGGAGCTGTTCATTAGAGGTTTTAAAGGAAGTGCATTTATTTATCAGAGCTCACTGATAAATATTGCCAGCCCCATTGAAGGACAGACTGCCTTGAGCTAACTCTTCTCTAAGGAGCCCCAGTCGGGCACCAACCCAGACTGCATCTCTATGGTCTTCTCAAAGCCTCCAGAGAAGATGAGCTAAATCAGGGCTGATTCCCACCTGGTTCCTCTGTTTCATTTTGAAACCTCAGTGAGCTTTTAAAAATGAAATGAAATAAAATGAACCAGATTCATAAAAGGTTTTTCTCAGGATACAAATATTGCAGGCACACTAAAGAAACTTTAGAAAAATATTAGCAAATATAGTATAAGGGGAATAATTCTTCTAATAATTCTTATATCATCAACCAGGCACAGAATATTTTGACTTGTGATATTTATGCACATATACCTTATAAAACAGATTCTTTCAAAAAAAGTTTCAAAGTTTAAGATGTATATTGCCTTTAGTTTCTTCTCATTTTTTCGCTTAATATATTGTGAGGGTTTTCTCATGCTGTTATTTTTCAATAACGTAACTATGAGAGCTTCATAATAACGTTGCAAAATGCAGAGGTACCATGACCCTCTTCTGTGCCCCTTTTCCATTGTTCTTGCCCTCTGTTTCCTTTCTTCTTCTTTCTTTATTTTTTTACTTTTGGTTTCCTTTCTTCTATCTTTCCTTCTTTCCCTTCCTCATCCCTTCTGTCAGGTGGGCAGTCTGTTCTCAGTTCTTGGTGTGCTCGTGGCCAAAAAATAACCAGACACACCAGTAGCAAGGCAAGCAAAAAGCCAAGGGTATTGGGCAAGGTAAGACATGTTCATCATGGACAATGAACAGGCCCCCAGTCATAACAGGAAGGCCTTGATTATGGTCTGGTTTCCCAGGAAACCCTCAACCAGAGCCCTGCACATGGCCTGGTGCCCAGGAGAGGCACTCAATATTTGCTGAGTGAATGAGTGACTAGAACTCCACTGATGACCAGTCCCATCTCCTTGCTCCTTAAACTCTAAAATAAATTTCCTATAAGTCAAAGCGTAAATCATAGAACTACTATAAGAATTCCTGAGAGAATTTTTTTAAATCTTAAGAGTCTGAAAGCTGTAAGCTTGAAACAGAACATAAGACAAACTATTAATAAATTCAACTGCATGCAAAACATATTTCATGGAAAAGACACCTAAACAACATCCAAAGACAAATGACAAACTAAATGATAATACAAGGTCTGACAATTAAGTTTGCAAACTCTTCCTGGAAAAAGTGCTACACACCTCATTGCTGAATGAGTCCTTCAAAGGACTCCCCTTGGGAAGCTCTGCACTGACACCAGCACCTAGCCCACTCTTCAGAGCAATTTTGGAACTCCTTCTCTGGAATGACCATCAGAGCTGTCATTGCTCAAGGTCTGACAATTAAGTTTGTAAACTTGTCACAGTGCTCTTACGTTGGCAGCACTATACTAACAACTCAGTAAGGTTTCATAGTCCTGGTGTATTAGTATCACACAGCTGGGTGTGTGTCAATGTGGGGCAGTGTCTTGCTAAGTGGTGTTCTTTATTGTTGCTGTGTATTTTTGTGTGCTGCACGACAATGACAGCTCTGATAGTCATTCCAGAAAAGGAGCTCCAGAAAAAAAGAATTCCAAAATTGCTTTGAAGGGTGAACGAAGTGGTGGCATTGGTGCCTACCTTCCTGAGGGGAGTACCTGGAAGATGAATGTCCTGATATTCAGCAATGAGGCATGTAGCATTTTTTTCTAAGATGACTTTGTGAATTTTGTTGTCTGACTTCACATTTCAACACATCACTAGGTAGCGTATTAATTTTCTTAATGTTGAAAGAGTTTCTGTACATCAGGAAGGTAAATTCAACCCAATGAAAAAATGTGCAAAGCTCAGGAAAACATAATGAAATACTTGTCAGTGTTACTCACATAAAGAACAGTACAAACCAACACTGCGTGTGAGACTATTTCAGGTCAGGAACGAAAGCACCTTTCCTGGGAGGATCCTAATGAGGGCGTGGATAAACAGGCTCTGTCATGCATTGCTGTGAAGATTATGAATTGTAGAGAAGGAGGGAATTTGTGAATGGTCATTGAGAGTACATGAATCTTTGCCCTGGCAATTCCACTCATATTTATTCCGTATTTGCACTTGGTGTTAGGGACAGGTAGGGAACAGTATGAGAAGGAAAAGAAAAGCAGACAATTGCTGAGACAATGAAAAGTTAGAAATTGCTGCGACAGAGGAAATGGACAGTTTCTTAGCTTAGACCCGAGCAGAGTAGGAAAGATAGGCTATTCTGGGCTACTTCAAAAATTGAACTAGCCAAGACTATGGTTAGAAAGTCTTGAAATTCAGGTACTGCTCAGCTCCTAACATCCCCACAGAGGGATTGACCAGTAGAACCTTTTATTTATTTTAATTTATTTTATTTATTTGAGACAGAGTCTTAACTATGTTGCCCTCAGTGCAGTGCCGTGGCATCATTAGCTCACAGCAACCTCTAACTCTTGGGCTTAAGAGATTCTCTTGCCTCAGCCTCCCGAGTAGCTGGGACTATAGGTACCTGCCACAATGCCCAACTATTTTTTTGTTGCAGTTGTCATTGCTGTTTAGCAGGCCTGGGCTGGGTTCGAACCCACCAGCCTTGGTATATGTGGCTGGCGCCCTAACCATGGAACTACAGGTGCCAAGCCCCTTTTTTTAACTTTTGAAACAGAGTCTCACTCTGTTGCCCCTGAGTAGAGTGCTGTGGCGTCACCATAGGTCACAGCAACCTCTAGCTCCTGGGCTCAAGAGATTCTCTTGCCTCAGCCTCTCGAGTAGCTGGGATAACAGGTGCAGCCACAAGGCTAGTTTTTTTTTCTATTTTTAGTAGAAATGGAGTCTCGCTCTTGCTCAGGCTGGTCTTGAACTCCTGAGCTCAAGCAATACATCGCCTCAGCCTCCCAGAGTGCTAGGATTATAGGCATGAGCCACCGTGCCCAGCCAGAACTTTTTAAAGAAGAAACTGGTCAGCATCCCATGATTAATCAATGCCCTATTAATACCTTTGCGACTTTCTAAAGGAGAAATTAGTTAAAAATAACACAGAGTCAGCTTGATCAGGACCTAGGCAAAAGAAAATTCATAGAATTAGAATTAACATTAGAAGTAGAACATTAGAACATTAGAAGTAGATGGAGCGGCTCGGCGCCTATAGCTCAACCGGCTAAGGCGCCAGCCACGTACACCTAAGGTGGCGGGTTCGAATCCCCAGCCCGGACCCGCCAAACAACAATGACGGCTGCAACCAAAAAATAGCCGGGCGTTGTGGCGGGCGCCTGTGGTCCCAGCTACTTGGGAGGTGGAGGCAGGAGACTCGCTTGAGCCCAGGAGTTGGAGGTTGCTGTGAGCGTGATGCCATGGCACTCTACCCAGGGGGACAGCTTGAGGCTCTGTCTCAAAAAAAAAAAAAAAAAAAAAGAAGTAGATGGAGCAAAGCTAGGAATTGGAGAATAAATACTAAGGAAAAAGTCTACAAGGAGTCCTTCCTCACTTGAGTGGAAGAGAGCCACACCCTCGTGCCAGGTGTGTATTATCTGCTTCTAAACTTAAGTATGTCTTATTTGCTCATAAACTTAAGTGTGTTCTATAAAATAAAACTTTGCTTACTGCCAGACACTACTGTGTAACTTCCTCTTTTTGTGCCAGTTCTGCTGCTGCTACTGGGTTTCCTTTATTGTTTTGCCAGTAGAGTCAAAGTGCTTTCAAATTTGAGGAACAGCTTGCTAGTGGCACCCAGAGAAAGCCTGAACCCGGGATGGGGTTTTCATAGCCCCCTGACATGTCTATGCAAAGATATACACATGGATTTTCCTAAGGCTTTGGTTATAACAACAAAGAACTAAAAAGAATTCCAAAGACTGAAAAGAATTCATTAGAGAACTCTCATTAATTCAATTTTAACATTCTATACATGGAATAGAATGCATCTATTGCAAAATATATATATATATATACTAATAAGTAATAAAATATATGCTAATACTAATAAGGCAGTTCTAAATGCAAAAATATAAAACTATCACCAAGGTTTATTTAAACATATGTTAGCAGTGCGTAAGTGTGCATAGCATGCTGACGTTGTTCAAAGGCAGGAAGAAAGAAGGAAAAGAGGAAAGGATAAAAGGGAGAAATAAAAAATATAGCACAAGTATTCACAGGATATTTTGGGAAGGAAATGTCCCCTCTGAGGTAGCCCATAGAGTGGATATGGAAAAAAGACATACTTTCAACAGTACATCTCTTTGAATTTTGTACCAATAGCATATATTAATATCACACAGTCACAACAAGTAGATAGTAAAACAAAATTTAAAACAAAGATGGTTAGATCAGAATGTTAGTGACCGACCAGCACAATGGCTCATGCCTATGATCCTAGCACTCTGGGAGGTGAAGTTGGGAGGATCACTGGAGTTCAGAAGTTTGAGACGAGCCTGCGTAAGAACGAGACCCCATGTCTACTAAAAATTGAAAAACTAGCTGGAAGTTGTGTCAGATGCCTGAAGTCCCAGGTACTCGGGAGGCAGGAGGTTTTTGCTCAAACCCAGGAGTTTGAGGTCGCTGTGAGCTATGATG